TGTCTAGCCCTGTTAGAATTTTAAAGGTTTCTAAGAGATCCCCCTTCATTCTACTCAACTCCAGTGAATATATTCCTAACTGATCCAGTCTCTCTTCATTCATCTCTGGAATCAATTTGTTAAACCTTAAATGCATTCCGTCTTCTTCTTCAGATGTGGAGACCAACACTGCACACAATACTCCAAGTGTGGTCTTACCAAGGCTCTGTACGACTGCAGCATGGCACCACATGAATCTTCTGGCTATGAAGGCCAACATACAATTTACTGTGGAAGGGTCACCAGACGCGAAATGTTAACTCTGATTTTTACTTCACAGATGCTGCCAGACCTGCTGAGCTTTTCCAGCAACTTCAGTTTTTCTATCATTTATTTCCTTCACTGCCGCCACACTTACTTTCAGCAAATGATACACAAGGCCAGCCAAGCCTCTTTGCAGGCCCCCCTTTCCCAATCTATCACCACTCAGAGAATAAACCGCTTTCCTGAACTTGCTCCCAAAATGGATAGACTCACATTTATCTGCCTTATATTTCATTTGCCATGCCTTTGCCCACTCACTCAAAGTGGCCAAATCACCACTGAAGCATCTCTGCATCTTCCTGCCAGTTCATCCTCCAACCTAGCTTTTTGTTGTCTGCAAACTGGGAGACATTTATTTCCCCCATCTAAGTCATTAATTTATGCACGTTGTGAATAGCTGTGGTCACTGGTTGCCCCTTGGAAAATGACGCGTTTATTTATGATCTCTAGCAGGTTGACACAAATCCTGAGGAATCTCCTTTTGACCCTTCATCACCATTGGCCTTTATTGTTTCATGTAGACTGCTATGATGCTCTGTAAAGCTAGATGGTCCTGCAGGACAGCATTGAATGTGGAAAAGGCTGCACTTTGTGCACCTTTCCCTGATAGACCAAAGACAGATGAGGGAGAATGAACATGTGATCTCCCCTTTGTATATCTCCCAGCTTTGAATGGCAGTGTTATCCCTGGAAAAGCTGATAGGATGAGCCTTTCTCTGCGGAGATGTTGGAAACCCCACCCATTCATGCTGGTGCACACAAGTAGGGTGTAAGTGTGGAATGATGTATGCAGGCCAGGCCCTGGCACAATCCCTGCGCAGAGCATTTAGTCTCAGGGTTGTCCACGTCAAAGTGTGGACTCCTTGACTGCATCATGGTTTAATGGTCTGTGACATCTGAGGCTATCTGCGTCACAGAGTCTGTTACCTTTGAGAGATAAGCAAAGTTTGGCCGTATAACTTCTTTAACACTTGCAATGTCTGAAAAGACCTCTCACCTCTCACATGGTGCAACTAACCCAGGTCCAAGAATGAAAACGATGTTACTGCAGGCATGTTAAAAGCACAAGTGAGAATGTATTTGCAAAGTTGCATGGATATGTACAAAATTATTTATGTGCCATCCAGGTCACCGATGGGCGCTCAGTAAGTTTATTTTTTCTTCTTCACCCCACTTCATCTCAATGCAGTCCCGATTTCCACAACTAGGGGGAGGGAGTCCACTCTGTAGTTGCCCCTGTTGGTGTGGAAGACTTGAGCAGTCGTCCGTGGGGCCGTTTGCATCTCCATAATTGAGAGTGTCCTGCCCAGATGTTGGCTCACCCTCCTTGGTTTGGATTTGTGCAGGCTGTGATGTCACAAGCAGCAGGGAGGTGGAGGATCCAGACTCCTTAGGTGTACCCTGCAAAGAAGTTTCTGAGGAGCCTGAGTGTCACTCCTCCTCCCTTTGGGATCCTGCTGTCTCCCTGAGAGGAAAGGGCACCTGGAGTGAAAGTTGAGGGCCCTCATACATTGAGCACCTACGCCTAGGGAAATGCTGTGCAGGTATCAATGGACTGCACATATCCAGCAGCTCCAACCTCTCCACTGAGACATCAAGACTCAGCACCTGACATTGGTGGGTGCCTGTATCCTTTGAACCAGCTTATCTAGTGACTCTCGCAAACCTGCTTGCTCTTGCTTTGCATTTTGGTGAAGTCATTAATGGCTGACACCATGGGATCATCTCCTGCCTGGTCTTCAGCATTCCTCTGAGTTCCAGCGATCTGGGGCGTTTCTTCTTCAACCAGATGTGAAGATGCGTCAGTGATGCATTCACTAGATTGTCATTCTGCGTTTAATCTGTATAAAGTATCCTCTAAGGTGAAAGTCTCTGAACTGGGAGAGGGTGCGGATGAAAGCCTTTGCCAGTCCATTCCTCTGAGAGTACAGTAGCAATATTTGATCACAAAGGAGAAGAAAACAAACAAAATTGAGCTAAAGTTTTATGATTGGAGTACTGTTTGTGTGAGCTAAACTATAAGCTGTGCTTATACAAGGGCATAACACATCAGTCTCTGACTGATGTCTCCCATAAGCAGCTTCAAGTACGATAAAGTGAACCACAATGTTAAATGCTGCCTCTTAATCAATCTTAATGAATGTACTTTTATTTCCAAAAAAACCATTACAATCCATTAAGTGGTACAAAGCATTCTCTTTATTGATCGACACAAACTGGAAGCCAGCCATCATATCACAAACAGTAAGGACCAGGCTACACAAGCCAACTACGGTCAGCCACCATCCTTGTGCAGGGGAATGGGCGCATTCACTTGCGTGGAGAAAATGGTGGGCCGAAGGGCCTGTTCCTGTGCTGTATTGTTCTAAAACAAAGAGCAGCGAGGGAATGTGCCTCTGAAGGTAAGGAGCATCTTCACTCAGGTGTCTACAAACACACCAAGGAAAGGTGCCAAGGAATTGACGGATCTGCTGGTACCCAAATCACTCTCCAATTCAACTCATTGGTGGTAATTAGTCATTTGCTGCATTGGATTTGATCAGTCTCCTTATCCTCTGAATAATTCCTGCTCAAACTGAACAATGTCAGGAGAAAGAATGGTCAGAGTCCGAGATAGGAGCGTGTGAACAGGAGGCTACAATTTAGCAACTTCATTCTGCTTGGCCATTCAGTTAGATCATGGCTTGACTTATATCTCAACTTCATTTATCTTTGTTCAGTAATTCTTAATACCTTTGCCTAAAAAAAACTATCCATCTTAGTTTTGACATCTTTAATTGATAACTTTCCCTTGAGAAGTTACCATTCTGTGAGAAACTAGTCAAGGTCATAATTTGAGCTCTAATGAGTAATTTTATGTCTTTTCTTGTCTGGAGCACATAACAGATGTGCAGCAACCGACTGTGTACAAGATTCCATCCATTTCATTTAAATGGTATCTGTTCCTAATATGCTTTCCCAATGGAAGGGTGCAGTCACCCTACTCGTGTTTTACGTTCTAACTGCCGAAAATTGAAACCCAAGAAAATTGCGTCCAGTTTTATATCCTTTTCCAAACATCTCATGTAAAAATGTTAAACAAATCAAGAAATACCAAATAACCAACGGTTTAAAGAACGTGCGTTTATATAGTACCTTTCACCAACTCAGGACACACCAAAGTGCTTTACAGCCTGAAATATTGCAGTGATTGTTGTAACGTAGAAAATTTCAAGGGAAGTGAGAAAGAATTGTGTCAAACACTTAATGAATCATCAAATATCTGAGCAGACAGGTTACAGTTTAAATGAAGGTCCATGATCAGAATAAAGAGGGATTAGCAGAGCAAGAATATACATCCTAACATTCAGCTATGTAGGGATCACCTTGTTTTAAACAGGCACAAGTCAATTTCACATTTCATATCTGCAACAACCTGGCAAAATGTCAGTTGCCTTAAAGATCAACATTCAAACTTTAAAAGGGAGGGGCATATTCACTTGGAAAAAAAAGGTGTTAGGGTTATAGGAACTACATGTGTCAGGGTTATGTAAAATAGCTATAGAAGTTAGATAATAAGAACACAGACTAAGAGGTTTAGTGAAACAGTTCACCCTACATGTGTTCCCATGCGTCTACAAATGCAAATTCAAAATTCTCTCTGCAAATACACACCATGCCAACTTTAAGGGTCCCATTATGAAACAGACAAATGTAAGGTATACCTTGAAGAAATAAGCACCCAATGAAACTATCCAGTCAACAATATGTTAATTGGAGATGACAACAGAGGTTTAAAGGGGACGGCTGAGCAATGTAAGTGATTCTCCTCATCAACCCATAAACATTGGTTTGAAACTCGATTGCTGGGGATCCGAATGCACACTTTTCTCATTAAGCTGTCAACCTCTGGTTAATTTGCTGCCAGTTATTGGTTCAGGTAGACATTCACTCTCAGCCTATCAATGGCTCTTTGGCAGGAGGATGCAACATTAGGGGAACACAAAGGAGGCAAAAAGATTCCTGGATGGTTTGAATTAAAAATGATGGATAACTCTGTGGATCGTCAAGATCATTTTTAAACTGTAGCAAAGGAACTTAGAGATGTGAGCCAAAAATTAATTTGTGAGTCACACCAACTCAATTATAAGCATTTTAACGAAGCAGTAATTCATAGAATCCCCACAGTGGGGAAGCAGGCCATCTGGCCCATCAAGTCCACTCCAATCTTCTGAAGAGCATCCCATTGACACCCACCCTTCTGCCCTATCCTTGTAATCCTGCATTTCCCATGGCTAATCCACCTAGCCTGCACATCCCTGGATATTGGGAGCAATTTAACATGATCAATGCATCTGACCTGCACATCTTTGGACTGTGGGAGGGAACCGGAGCACCTGGAGGAAACCCACGCAGACACAGGGAGAATGTGCAAACTCCACACAGACAGTCGCTCAAGGCCAGAATTGACCCTGAGTCCCTGGTGTTGTGAGGCAGCAGTGCTAAGCACTGAGCCACCATGCCGCCCAAAAGCTCAGTTCACCCCAGGTGGTAGTTCAACCCTGTAGTGATTGGGACCAGGTTGACATTGTTAACTGTGAGGTTCTTGATTGGAGTTGTTAACCTGGGCCAATCAGGAAAACCCTGGCTGACCAATATAACCAGTAGATTTGGAATCTCTTCAGTTGAGGACTGACTCCGAGCTGGCTGACCACAGCCAGTGTACTGTGCACTAGCAAATAAAGGGTGACCTGGTGACAGGACTCCTGCCTTTGTACAGTTATTTCAGTGGTGATGGGAGAAAACAGACACGCCTGAGGAACATTTGCTTGCAACTGTCATCTTGGAGTTGGGGTAAGCATTTCTGGCATCATGCCACAATTTGAGAAGCTTGACTCATTTGATCCAACTGTTGAAGACTGGGCCCAGTATGTTGAGAGAATGCGATATTATTTCTGGGCAAATGATATTGGGGCAAATGAAAACAACGAGTAATTCTTATGACTGCATTTTCAGTTGTAAGGGGCTTAACTTTCTCAGAGGCGCCAGACAATAAAATCTCCAAGAGCTGAAAGAGTTGGTTAAGGAATATTATGACCCTAAACCTCATCTAATCCTGAGATGCTATTGGTTTTATTCAGCTGTTAGAATCCGTATCAGGACTTTAGATGAGGACTGGCAGAGGCATGTGATTTTGGCTTAAGCCTGAATGAAATGCTGAGGGACTGTTTGGGGTATGTGGGATTAATTACATAACCATGCAGAAGCACCTACAAGCTGAAGCCCAACTGGCACCACAGCTGGCATTGTCATTAGAAAGTGGAGCATGGGAACCACAGGGCATCCCAATGGAAGTGGACACTCTCACCTGTCCAACTGAGCTTGGGGAACACCATGTGAGTGTAGGCAATCGCAAAACCTCATACAGGGCATGTCCTGAGCAGGAGGACGTTAGGCCAACCCACAACAAAGCCAAGCCTCAACCAAGTGGCTAATGCCGACGCCTTGAGCCGCCTCCCAACAGCAGATACTTCACCAGTGGTGCCTCCCCTGGAAGAGTCTGTTTTGCTTTTAAACTTTCTGGACACCCTTCCAGTCACTGTGGACAATATCCGACTGTGGACACAAAATGATCCTATCCTAGCAAAACTAAAATAGCTGGCAGCAGTGGGGGAAACAGAAGGGCCATTGCAACCCGAACTGAAACCTTTTTGGACCTGTTTGCTCCCCATATTACTGTGGGGAGAAAGGGTGATTTTCCCGAGTAAAGGTCACTTCCAGATACTGGCCGAACTCCACCAGGGTTTCCAAGATGAAGATGCGAGCAAGAAGCTATGTCTGGTGGCCAGGGCTGGATGGGAACATAGCTGCATTGGTGGGGCAATGCCCAAAGTGTCAACAAGAACAAAAGTTGCGACCAGCAGCTCCTCCACATTTGTGGGAATGGCCAGGTAGACCCTGGACTCAGTTGCATGCCAACTATGCTGGTCTTTTCATGGGCTCAATGTGCCTGGTCATTGTGGATGCCCATTCAGAGTGACTGGACGCGCATACTGTTCGTTCAGCAAACTCCGGGATGACGATTGAGAAGCTGCGAGCATCGTTCACAATGCACAGACTTACAGAATTATTGGTCACAGACAATGTGACATTTACCAGCAGGGAATTTGAATATTTCCCAGAGTCCAATGGCATTCGGCACATAGGGACAGCTCCATACCGTCCATCGTCTAATGGTCTAGCAGAAAGAGTGGACCAAATGTTGAGGGCAGGCTTAAAGAAGCAGCTTACTGTGTCAATCAAGACCAAACTGTCCTGGTTCCTGTTCGATTATAGGACCATCCCGCACACAACAACAGGGATAACTCCAGCAGAGTTGCTGATGGGGAGAAGATTCCATGCCAGTGAAATTCCCAGACTTGAGGGGGGAGGATGTGATGGCACCAGGAATGCCAATGCCAGCCAAGTGCCTTTTCTGAGCGCAAGAAATAATTTAATTCAGGGGATGAAGTTTGGTGCTGGAACCATGGAAATGGCCCTGTGTCAGTACAGGTGAGGTTGACGCAAGGTCAGGTCCCATGACTTACAAAGTTCAAGTAGATGATACGGTCCTAAACAAACACGTGGCAAGCCATTACCTCACAAACAGGGCAGGACCAAAACATACCCGGCCCCTCAGAACAGCCGGAAGGCCCGGCCGAGACTGCAGGTGCTTCCCCCTCCATCTAGTGTGATGGAAACCTCAGAGTCCAAAATGGATACAGCCCCGATGCTGTTGCCATCCGAAGAAGAGGAGCAGACTCTTCCGAGACATTCCGGGTGCAAGAGATGGGTAACGATCTGGTACACGCCACCTGTGTCTGGGCCAAGTTGGAGGAACCAGACCTCGGGCAAAAGCAGCTACAAGTGAAAGACCAGGCCTAAATCCCTCAACTTTGAGGGGGAGGGATATAGCGAATGGTACCAGTTTGACCTCATTAACTATGAAGTTCTTGTTTGGGGTTGTTGGCCTGTGCCAATCAGAAAAGACTTGGCTGACCAATATAACTGGGAGAAGGTGGGCACTGCAGAGGGTGGAGTGATTTATTTCCCCCTCAAACTATATTTTTGATCCCTACCCTTCCCCCTCACTTTTTCCTTCACATATTTTGGCCCTAGGGTCTCTGCTTGATGCTGGTTCTTTGGTTACATGGGTGTTCTCCCTAGTGGTGCTATGATAATAGTTATTTGCACACCTGGTGTTTTTTAAACTGTCTTGCACCTGCACGCACACACAACATAGGTAAAAGTAAATTAAAAGAAAACCAGGGGAGAGAGAGAAAAAAGAAAACATAACTGGGAGACTAGAATCTCCTCCGCTGAAGATTGACTCCAAGCTGTCTGGCCACATTCAGTGTACTGTGCACTAAAAAATGATGGGATACATGGTGACGGGACCCAGCCTCTGTACAGTTATTTCAAACCTACAAGCCCTGGCATATGAGGTGAATGCCTTATCCATTAGGCCGCTGAGGCCATTCTACAGGTAGGTGTATAAGGATGGTAGAAGTTAAGTAGTGATGGAAATCGTTTTGTTCAGATTTGACATTCTAATCTCAAGAAGTAAATATCCATCATAAAGCTGGGCATTCGACTGGATTTGGAAAATATTGAGGACCTGTGGGATAAAAGAAAGAGGACTGAGGTTATGCTCAGATATCCCCTCATTTTATCAGTCATTGACCCTGGTGACCAAGATGGCCACACATCCTATCACCAGTAAAGCCGAAATATATAACCAGAACTGAGTTCTGAAGAAGAGTCCAAAATATTAAATCTGTTTCTATCACCGCAGTTGCTGCCAGATCTGCTGAGATTTTCCAGCACTTCTGTTTTTATTTCAGATTTCCAATGTCTGCAGTACTTTATTTCCATACAAATGCAAGTTGCTATTGTTGAAAGCAAAACGATTGCACATTTTTGAACAATTACCATCACACATTGTAAGCTGTAACCTGTTATATGAGCATGCAATGCCAATCGTTGCCAACATGTGCTTGGGTACATAGCTGCCACCTTCCAACTGGTTTACAGGGCCAACATAGTCTAACACACAGCAGTAATTCTCCAAGGCTTCTTAGACAGCACCTTTTAAACCCACAACCACTTCCATCTAGAAGGATAAGGGCAGCAGATGCACATGGGAACACCACCACCTGCAAGTTCCCATCCAAGCCACTCAAAGCCCTGACTTGGAAATGTATCATCGTTCCTTCAAAATCCTGGAACTCCCTCCCTAACAGCATTGTGGGTCTGCCTACAGCACATGAACTGCATAGCTCAAGAGGGCAGTTCACCACCACCTTTTTGGGGCAATAAACACTGGCCCAGCCACCAATGCGTGTATGTCATGAATGAATAAAAGTAAAATGGTAGAGGAAAACCACAAAGTAGTCTATCAGGAAGATACTCGTGTCTTAAAATAGAAGTAGATTATTGGATGTTAGTAATGAGGTACCAGTTACATAACAAAGATAAACATGATTATTAGGGGACCCAGATGGGTGAGTCTGTCTCCATCAAGATCACAGTTTTCTACATTTTCCTACGTAATTCTTATGAAATCATATTGGATGGAGATTAATGCAGTCTTCAGCATTAACCCTTTCAGATCCATTACTTTATACAACAATCTTGCCCTCACCAAGTACCTCCTTGATAACCTACATTGACTGCTGGGTCCTCAGTTCCTCCCAATTAAAAATTCTTACTTTGCATTTGAATCCCTGTATGCTTTCATCCTTGCTGTCCATCTGTATGTCCACCAGCCCAACAACCCCTCCAGAATTCTGTTTTTCTGACCCTAGCCTTGCGTGCATCTTCCTTCTCCATGCACTACAACTGTATACTAGACCCCCATCACACTCGCTGCCCCAATGATCTCAATAACCCCAAACCTTGCCTCTAAATAGCAGCCAGATTTTTGAACACCTAGTCTAGTGTCCTAAAATTACCCTCTGAACCCTACTGTTTCTGAAACATAATCACTTCTGTTAAGATTCTCCATAACTCAACCCTGCCACTTGCCACTTCTCTTCCAGGGAAATGAACCTTCAAGAAGTTCTGCATTAACTTTGAGAGGTTTTCCATTTGTTTCATCGACCTAGCTACCTCTCATGTTTTCCATTTCGGATGAAAGGTCAGCAACTTAGAATATTAAACCATTTTTCTCTCCACAGATGCTGCCTAGCCAGTCTGATATTTCAAAAATTTTCTGTTTTTATTTCAGATTTCCAATGCCCATTCTTTTTCAAAACACACCTCATCGATCTAATTTACACCCCTCTGAAGCATCTTGCGGCATTTGTCAGTGTTAGAAGTGCTGGACAAATGCAAATTGCAGTTTCCTGCTGAGATGAGAGTGACAGACTGCTCACATTTGCCCTTTGTGATATCATTTCAATCCCTAATGTGCGTCAGCTTTGTAATAACCTTCATTAGCATCGAATTAAAGGTCACACTGTGTCATGGAATCACACGCAGTGTAACTTTGACTGACAGTGCTCAGACTGACTTCACTTGGGACTGTTAACAGCCATTACCAGAGGATATCTGCATTCTGACTTGTTGGCCTGAATTCATAGCTGTTTTCCAAAGTTGAAAGCTTTGGTGAACGTGACGATTTGAAATTTACCATTTAACTGATCTTGTCCAGTTAGTAATAAAGAATGGAACCTTTACAAAACATTACAAACAAAAATGTTGTTAGCTTCATTGGCTGTTGGTTAAGAATCACAAAGCAGTTAACCTTTTGCTATCCTATACTACAACAGTGATTACAGCTCAAAAATACTTAATTTTACAGGAAAATACTTTAGGATGTTCCATAATTATGAAAAGTATGGTGTAAATGCAAGGTCTTCCTTTATGTTTTTCTTTCCTGCTGGCTTTTCATGAGAATGTAGAACTACCTTTTTTCTTTTATGACTATCCTACAGGAAACTAATAGCTCAGAATCTTCTCTAAGGAAAGGTAGGCCAGCATTGGAGGCAGTCCAAAGAAGATCCATTAGGCTGAATATCAGGTACAGAGGGATGGTCTTAAGGGAAGAGGTTGAGTAGATTGAACCTGTACTTATTTAAATTTAGAAGTATGAGAGGAGACCTTACTGAAACATACAAGATTCTTAGGGAAATTTACAGAACAGACGCAGAAAGGTCGTTCCCTTGTGTGAGAGTCTAGGAACAGAGCACATAACCTCACAATAAGGGGTCACAGAGATGAGGAGGAATTTCTTCTCTCAGAGGGTTGTAATTTTGTGGAATTCTATTCCACAGAGGGCTTTTGAGGCTGGAGCAATAAGCATATTCAGGACTTTGATAGACAGATTTTTAATCAGTAACAGAATCAAGGTTTATGGGGAAAAGGCGAGAAAGTGGAGTTGAGGATTATCAGATCAGCAATAATCTCATTGAATGGTGGAGCAGATTTGATGGGCTGAATGGCCCACTTCTGCTCCTACATTTTATGGCCTTACGATTGGATTGATTCCCTGAAAATCCTGGATCCCCACTTTGCAAGTACAAATGTTGGCAGAGTAAAGTATTCCAGAGGTAAAAGTTCAATCCCAAGCTTCAGGAACAGGGTCATTTAAAAGATTTACATTTCTGCAGTGTTTTTCACTGTATCAGCACATGCCAGTGCTGCACAGCCAATGAAATATTTTTGACCTGCCGTCACTTCAGTAATTGGCTGCTGCATTTTGCACATGTGTGCACAGCAATGACCCACAAACAGCAATGAGCTTTCATGTGTTTTAGTGATACAGGTTCAGGGATACAGGACACCAAGGAGAATTCCCAAAGTAGAACATTGGATTCTTTTACATCTACCTGTAAAGGTAGCTGGGGTCTCAGTTTAACAACTCATCTAGGAGATGGCATCTCTCACAGTGCAGCACTCCCTCCAGTACTGGCTCCGGGAGTATTAACCCTAATTATATGACCAAGTCTCTAGGGGAGAGCAAAACATTTCAATAGTGTGTAAAGTGATTTGGCAAAATGGAAGTCCCTATCTGGGTGAGATTTATGCTCATAATATTTAAATAAGCTTTAGAAGCTAGAATTGGCCTTGGTGTCCAGGTGCTAAAGTCCATTGGGACATTAACACAGAATGGTGATTTCCTGCTTAGAGTTAAAAGCCACCTCTTTGAGTCAATATTGTTTCAGGAATAAAAAACAAATGAAGAACAATGAGTCTCCAGAGTCCGGTTCTGCATGTTTCCTCCATTACACCTCTTATTCTTTTATTGATTTGATTAGTTGAATACATTTTGCAATCTGCCACCTCCACAGACAGCAAGGCTAATGGCATACTCAAAGCTCTTCGCACACAATCACATTTAAAACTGTGCTGCTTGGCCAAAGGATTCGCTGTATATCAAGGAGCAGTGTTGTGAAGTATTTCATGAATGCAATGTAAACTAACTTCATCTCCAAAATAATTAAGTTTGCAAATTATGAGTCCCACAATGCAAACGAGGTAGGAGGTGCTATAGTAATACCCTCACATTTCCTCACACTGCTGCGATTGTTTTTATGCACATAATGTTTCTGTAATGACAAGCATGTAGCTGTTGAAATAATCTTGCTTTTACTGGGAGACGGCTGTAGTTTCGGTCATACAGCCTTGATGTACTTTGTTGCAATTCTGTTCAGACAGGGACTGTTTGCTGAGTAAATAGATGTTGTAAGGCAGCCGGTGTGCATGCAGAAAGGCTGCACAAACACTGATGTGATAACTATCAGACAATCTTGTGGGATCCACACTGGCTTCTTCTAAGTGATGACATGAAACCTTTTACATTATGATGAGATGTGTATCATTTTATAGATTTTAATATCAGTTTTGGAATTTTGATTTCAAAATGAGGGCAAATTGTTTATTGCTGTGGAAGATTTTCTTTCAAAAAAAATCAGATCAGACTCCTTCCAGAACAGCAACTCAATTCAGCATTTGAACAAGTGACCACAAGATCTTAGATGCAGGAGCAGGATTAAGCCATTCAGTTCACTGAATCTGCTCCACCATTCGTTTGTGGCTGATTTCTTTCTCAAACCCATTCTTCTGCCTTCTCCCCATAACCTTTGATCCACTTATTAATTCAAACCTATCTATCTGTGTTAAAAACAATCATTGACTTGGCCTCCATGGCCTTCTGCAGCAATGAGCTCCACAAATTAACCACTCTCTGGCTGAAGAAATTCCTCCACATATCAGTTCTAAAGGGTTGTTCCTTCACTCTGAGGCTGTGCCCTCGGGTCCTAGTCTCTCTTACTAGTGGAAACATCATCTCCAGGCCTCTCCGTATTCTGTAAGTTTCAATCAGATACTCCCCACATCCTTCTAAACTCCAAGTGCAGACGCAGAGTATTCAACTCCTCCTCATGTGACAAGCCTTTCATCCCCAGGATCATTCTTATAATCCTCCTCTCGTGCCCCTCCAATGCCAGGACTTCCTTCCTTAGATACAATTCCAAAAACTGCTCACAATGATCCAAAAGCAGTCTGACCACAGCCTTCTACAGCCTCAGCAGTACATGTCTGCTCTTGTATTCTAGCCCTCTTGAAAAGAATGCTAATATTGCATTCACCTTCCTAACTAAAACCTGCATGTTAACCATAAGAGAATCCTGAACTAGGACTCCAAAGTCCCTTTGTGTTTCAGATTTCTGAAGCTTTGCCCAGTCTAGAAAATAGTCCATGGCTCTATTCTTCCTATCAAAGTGCATAACCTCACGCTTTTTCCTCTTGTATTCCATTTGCCATTTCTTTGCCCACTCCCTAGCCTATTCAAGTTCTTCTGCAGCCTTCCTGCTTCCGCAACATTATCTGTGCTTCACCTATCTTTGTGTCATCTGCAAACCTAGCAACAATGCCCTGCATTCCTTAGTCCAGATCATTAATGTTTAATACGATTGTGGTCTCCTGGGGTGTTAATGAAAAAATGTTTATACTGTTGTGTTTCCAACATCGAGGGTAAACATGTGTGGCAATTAATTTTGTTTTCAGAAGAATATAGAATCGAGCTGGTTAGCTTTGAACTTCAGTTCAGAAGAGACCAAGCAAGAAAGTTTAATTTCTCTCTTGAATGAGTTTAACGCAACTCGGGGAATAAGTTGCCTCCACAAAAGGTTTTAGTTTGTGAAACTTCAAAACCTGGAGAGTTTGATTAGAAATCTGTCAGTTATTAGAACTGAGAAAGGTTAGGCTGTCAAATTGGTCAAAATCAGCAGATTTGAAAAGGATAAGTGAGTTGTCCTCACAGCCCACAGAAAAGAATCTGTAAGGAGTCAGTTAAGTATAGACTTAAGAGTTAAGATAGATATGTAATTTGAATCTGGACTTGAGTCTCTACAATGAATAGTGTTGGGAAACAGGTTGTATATTTTAAACTCATTACAATTGTCTTCTGTATTTAAGTGGATTGGTTTGCTTTTCCTAATATTTTCGTTGTGCAGTAAACTTCTGTTGTAAAAAGAAAATCTGCAACCTCGTGTAAGTATGTCATAATGATGTCCAATGATATGCAGGTTAGGTGGATTGGCCTTGCTAAATCATCCTATAGTGTCCAGGGAAGTGTAGGCTAGGTGGGTTAGTCATGGGAAATGTGGGGCTTACAGAGATAGGGTGAGGGTGGAGTGGGTCTGGGAGGCATGCTCTTCGGAGGGTCAGTGTGGATTCGATGGGCTTAATGGTGGAAAGAATGCCTCTTTCCCCAATGTCAGGGTTTTGTGATTGTGAGATGACTAACCATCAAATTAACTAAACAAAGTAGACAGGATCTATCAAGGGCATCATGGTAGCTCAGTGATTAGCACTGCTGCCTCACAGTGCCAGGGACCTGGGTTCAATTCCAGCCTCGGGTGACTGTTTGTGTGGAGTTTGCACATTCTCCCCGTGTCTGCGTGGGTTTCCTCTGCATGCTCCGGTTTCCTCCCACAGTCCAAAGATGTGCAGGCTATGTGGATTGGTCATGCTAAATTACCCCAAGTGTTCACAGATGTGTAGATTAGGTGGGTAATAGGGGGATGGGTCTGGGTGGGAGCTGTGAGGGTCAGTGTGGACTTGTTGGGCCAAAGGGCCTGTTCCCACACTGTAGGGATTCTATGAAGCCAGTTTTCAGTCTGGAACCTGACTTGTCCAGTTGTATCATCACCTGGGATCATAACAGCATAAATCTGAAAGGGCAGGTACAGCCTTTGTTTAATGTCACATCCAAAAGAGAGATTGTTAAACCATGACTGAAATGGCAGGGTAGATTTTGTGCTCGAGTCTCTAAAGTGTGTCTTGATCCCACATCTGTCTGTCTTAAGGCTACAAGATCTACCCACTGAGTCATCACTAACATCTAAAATGACAATAACAATTAAACAAAATTAATACATAAACAATGACTGAATAACACCATGTAGTTAATCTGCAGTGCCTAATCAGCTCAAGAAAATACTTCTTTCTGCAGTTCTTTAATTTGTGAAGTGTGTTGTTTGGTGATAACACTTCAGAAATCTATTAAAGGAAATAAAGTACCTAGAATCCTGTGTCGATGAAAGAGGTGTGAATTTTGA